TAAAGAAAAATATAGTAATATAATTAAAAATAATTTGTCATTTCTTAACAATTCAATACTATTTTTTGATATTTTCTTTATAGAAAACAATCTGATGCCGTATTAAAAGGATTTGGTTTGACTGAGTATGTTTATTCAAAAAAAAAACACTTTTCGTTTCTTAACATTTATTTAATTTAATTTTTAGACATGAACGTTTACAATATGTAAAATTTATGCAAGAAATAACTGATGCCATTATACGAAATAATTTAACTACAGAATCTGCAATTGAAAAATTATTTGAAATACATATTGATCGTAATCGTGGAAAACTTAATGAAGTAAAGAAAATTATTTATTTATTTATTTATTTATTTTCTTAACATATTTTCTAATTTTCTTATTTAAATTTAGAATCGTTTACGTGATCTTTTAGAAGCACTGAAAGATGATCTTGGTGTTCAAACATCTCGAAGTAAAATAATTATTGTAAAGAATTAAAACTTTTTATTTATTTAATACATTTATAGAAATTGATACATATTCTTCAGTTAATAAAGCTACTACTTATGACAATGAACCACTTCCACCACAAACACCTATTACAACAAGAGAAGATTCATTAATATTATCTTCAAAAATTCCATACGATGATAAACGACGCTCATCATATGATGTTAATGCTTTATTACCTTGGGAATCAGAAAATTATATTGACAAACAACCAATAATAACACAACGCATTACAGAAAAATCACAATTAAATACTTTAAATAATAATGATATGCAAAATCCATTAAATGATGATTATTTATTTCCTCCTTTATCAACAACTATTAAACCAAAACCACGTTTATCACTTAAAACAAATACTGATGATCATTATCAAGTACATGATATTCCAAATACACAAACAACTGAATCGGAATCAACTATTCCAATGAATTTCAATACAACAATTCGAAAACCTATGAATGATTTACATAACGTTGATTGGCTTAGTGATCCACAACCAATGAAAACAACAAATGAAAAAACTTTATCACATGATATTGAAGAACATCATACGGAAGAAGAACAAGAAGAAGAAGAAGACGATAGAGTTAATGATCATGAATGGCGAAGTCCATCACCTGAACTAAAAAATCGTTCAGAATTAGACACATATGGTAGTAATGATTTTGAAGAAAATGACAATGAAATTGACAATTCTGAACAATAAATTATTTAACAAACAATAGTAGAACGAGAAAAAAAAACAATCAGACTTTTTGTGTGTTTTTTTCATTTTTTTTTCTTTCTTGTACATCATTACAGTGTTCATATATATAGATTGGTGACAAAAAAAAACTGTCTGTCTATAGAGGAAAAGGACAAAAAAAAAATCTTGCATCAATATTTTATGCTTTTCGGAGTGTCATTCTGCTCGTTTCCATCTATTACTACTACTACTATCATTCATCCAAATGAATGCTCGTCCTGTGTTCAAGTTGAGCGACAGAGCCGAGATTTTTTTTCTCGCTTGTCGTCATCCGTTTTTTTTTTCTCTTTTTCTTTTTTTTCCGTCTTCTTCTCGAGCCTTTTTGCGTGTATTACATACTAACTCCTCACCATCTCAGCGTGCATTCGACCTAGTTTAATGATTATGTGACAAGCATCATACGTGTGTGTATATGAATATATATTATTTTTCATCATGAACGACGAACATGCGACTCATGTTTTTGAACAACTTCGAAATTTAGTACCAGGCGTTAATCAATGTGAAAATGAGCTTGAATTTATTCAATGTATTTCAAATTATATTCAGCATTTACAATCTCAACTGGTTAATAAACAGCATAATAAACGAGATATATTACGATCACTTGATTACAATCAAGATTTATCATGAATAATTTTTAATAATGAATATATATATTAATTTTAAAAATTATTTCATATTCAAGTCACAGTAAATCAATGCATAATTTTTAATTTACAAAACGGATTTGTGTTTTGTTTTTGTTCGAGCTTTTTTTTATATGTATTATTTGAACAGTTCTTTTTTTTTTGTTTATCTCTGAAATACAATTAATTTTGTAAATGTATCTGACTATTAAATGTTTGCCAAAAACATAATAAGAATAAGTTGTAAGAAAAAATTATTTAACTCATAAGCTTTGGTGTTGCTATTATTGTATCAGTGGTTGATGTTAACTTATCAACGTTGATGTTAATATATCAGTGGTTGACGTTAATATCATAGTGGTTGATGTTAATGTTGTAGTAGTTGACGTTAATATTGTTGTGGTTGATGTTAACGTATCACTCGTTGATATTATTATATCAGTAGTTGATGGGTGATTTAAATTTTTATCTAAAGTTATTAATGTTTCCAGTGATGATGATATAGTTTTGAGATCAACATTTGTAAATGAAACATCTAAAATAGAAGAATTTATTTTTATTTATTGATAAATCTAAATTTACTTGATTTCATTATTTGTGGTAATCGAAAATTTAACCAATAAATGTGTGATGATGATGATGACGAAGATTGTGATGCATCTTCATTTGTATATGGTTGTTCAAAACGAACTGTAGATATTGTTCGATTTTTATCACATAGTTGATTTATGGAATGTGTTTGAAATTGAGTTAAACATAGTATTGATGTACAAGGTTTACCACTCGTTACATTTAAATCAAGAATAAAAACATAAGAATCCGATAATTCTTGACGTTTTTTTTTCGAAGACAAAGAAGATTTAGAGATATCTACAATCGAACCAGTTAGTGTAGGATTATTTTGAATCATTGATGTAAGTGCAGCTCGTAATGCTTGAAGATTATTCGAATGAGAAAGAATTGCTTCTGCATTAAAACTATTCGATGGCGAGCGAAATTGTAATGTATAACCATTTACATAGACTCCTAAAGTTAGCATAAAATTATTCTGATATAGAACCCTAATAAATGATCCAAATATTTACTTGGTACTTGTACATAACTCTTTTTCCCAGATGAACTACGAGAAATATAAACTGGAATTAGTGAGAGAACGACAATAATAGTAAGGATAAAACCAACAGCGAAGAAACAACCTAAAAGAGCACATGATCGACTGTAAGGATCAATGCGTCTGAAAATCAAAAGAAAAATAATGTTAAGAACAACTGAAAATATATTTATTTAATTGAATCGTCACCTTGCAATGTTATTGGGTGTTGGTTGCCAATTTTCACCATAGCTTGCATCTCTATACATCTTATTCTTTTGTTTTTGTTATACTAAAATCAGGACACACATTATCCTTTTTCAATGAATAGGAAAGATTAAATGACTAGAAAAAATACAGGAAAAAAAAACAAGCATAGTCATGTTACCAAACAAATATATGTATAATGTTGATCGATGCACGCATTTATGCTTTTTTTTTCTTGACATCAAAGTTGGAGAACAGCACTCTATGTTGCTCTATGGTCATACCTGAATGATTTATCAAGGTAAAATAAGCAAATATTTAAAAAGAAGAAATACAAAAAGTAACGCTTAATAATTACTGTTCAGAATCACCAAAAAATTAATTGATAAAAAATTTTCTCTCATTTTTGATAAGTAATCGAAAAGAAATATGTGCAAGTAATGAGATATTTCATGATGAATCTTAGGCTATAGATGACATTATTATGATTGTAAAATAATATTGTTTTTTGTTTATATAATTCTTCTAAAATGCTAAGATCAATACATTCTTTGTCAAATATGTAAATTCAACTGGTATAAGAATACGATTGTATTTAACAAACTCTTTTTGTTGTTATTGTTGTTATAATGATAACTATAATTTATATTCGATGACGAATATTCTATGATGAATAGTAATTAGTACGTTAAAAACTCAATTATTGCCGTCGATCATAAAGAATAATACATAAAAGATTTAATTTTAGTTTAGATTTTCGCAAAATTGAAGATAAAAAGAAATTCTAAAGTCATTTATTCTTTAATGAATAATTGATTACTCTAGTGACAGTGATAAATCGAAAAGTCGTACATTTTTTTTTTCTATTTTTAAAGTAATAGATCTTCAGATCAATCAACCGTTTGGCGTAATTCCTCTTTCATTCCGTATCAAAGAAACAAAAGAAAAAAGGTTGCTATCATGCACACGGATATCTAGTTAATTACAAATAACAAAAAAATAATTATAATATAGTCACGAAACGAGTGACGATAGTCCCACTGCTAATTTAGCATTCAAAAACACGTCATCATCAAATTGACAACATAATGAAAAAAGAAAACAGAAAATTAATACTTGTATTAATTACGTCTAACTGTGTTATATTTTCAAGTATCAATAAGTATTTATTATAAGCATTTGTTAGTAATCTTCATAGAATGATTTCGTAGTTCTTCTTTATACAAATGGATTGTACGTCATGAAAATCTATAAATGCTCTTATATATCTTTTGAGTCTCATGTTTTTTTGTTCACGACCCATTGGCTGAATTAAAGAAACGAAGCAAGAGAGCAGTCGGAAGCTGTTGTCAGTACTATGAAGAGTCCTTTCCTTTTTCTTTCACTTTCTTTTTACTTATATATATATATATATATTTATATATCTATACTTATTTATTTCTCTTTTTCTTTTACATGTGGTAGAAAGAAATAGAAGTAGCATATAATAACGGGTGATTTCACCAGACTGTAGACACCGAGAACGAGAACGTCTGAAGAAAAACTTTAAATAGACACTATTATTTACATCTCATTTTCTTATTTATCATCAACGATCAAGTGAAAAACATTGGTATACTATATATACTTATATTCATATTCATATATACAAATATTTATAAGCATAATATTTATTAATAGCTTTTTCTTTCTTAACTGTTGTCGCCGAAACTATGATACGATTATCTCCAGATAGTCGATTAAACTTCGTACTAAACATTGATCACAATTTACTCTGATACAGCTTATATAAATATATAAAACTAATAACGATCAACATCATCAATATCAAATGTTAGAAAATACTACTAAATTATTTTTTGACATTATTACATCATCATCATTAACAAACAATTCACTGTCGTCATCAATAGCACCACCAGTTCGTACTCGAATTATGATTAATGCCATCTATATAGCAGGTGTTGCTTTTATGGTAGGCGTTTTTCTTCTATTACTTTGGGTAAATTTATGTAGTCGACATTGCTGGTGTTGGCATGATACACCAGTTGTTAATAGATTTAATCGTCAATGGCTAATACAACGTTCAATGACTGCAAATATTGATAGTGCATCATCAAAAGATCGACAACAACGAAGATCATTAAACGAAGATGAACTCGAGTGAATTTCCTTGTTATTTTTTCGAACTACCGGATATTCATAATTTACATGGAAAATTAGGCATACAAAATACAATATACAGGAATATTATCATGATCATTATTATTATTATTATCATTTGTCGTTTTCCTTTGTTTTGTGTTGGAGTTTCACATAAAACAGAAATCAATTTTATGTTATGTTTACTCTATTTGATTTTATCATTAGCTTTCTATTTGACATTCGAAAATGAAAATTTTACTGTTGTAAATATATTATAGTCATAAAAGAAAACAGCATTTTTTAAATAACAACTTATAAAAATACATCAATATGGTATCATTGAAGCATAGACGAAAAAAAAGAACTTTCAACTCTTCTATATTTTGATTACAAAAAAAGACTAATGAAACTCAATCAACATAGTTTTACTTGTAAATCAATTGAGTTTATTACCCCGTTTTCTACAAAAACTCTCGAATATTTATTATGTTATTATATTCAAAAAAGAAATTTTGAGAAGTATTTTTAGGAAGTAGGAGACATAGTAAGTGTTTAATGGAAATCTAATAAATGAAATTCAATAAGTTATACATTCAACATTTGTGTATATAGTATTGAATTAGAGACCAATTCTTTTTTTTTTCTCTAACAAGAGAATATTTTCATTGCTGGATCATTCATCAGTAATGTCAGACAGTAAAAAAAAAACATACATTAGGATTTTATCTACAATTAATTCGTATCAAATACTTGTTGTTCTCATAGACGATAAGCATTTAATTATAGATATATATATATCCTATAAGAATGTAAAATCAATGACCGTACTATTGAAATTAATATAGACTATTATATATGCTTGATGTTATAACTTTGTATGAGAAATAAGTTGAAGTATAACCTAGAGCTCATTGAGTCAAACCTAGATTCGGATGCAAAATTTTTTGAACTCAGTGGATTCTAATATTTCCTAGCTATCTTTAGTGTAAAATCTATTGAAATATATCAATTATTTAACGAATTGTGATTATATTGGGAAGAAATATTTATCTAGGGAAAAATTATATAACTTCATTTGAAATATTTCAAAGGCAAAGTATAATCTAAAAAAAATTAACTTTATGAAAAATTAACCGATTTTAATAGAACTAAAAGAAATATCAAAAAATATTTTATTTTAAAATCGTAAATCTATGTATTCTATTTGATTGATAAAATTGTCAAAATATTAATAATTATTTTTATGTTTAACAAAAGAAAAAATTATTGAATATACTTTATTGAATAGTTTTTTTTGTCAAGATATAACAAAGTCAAACAAATATTCTTAATAAAATCTTGTGAAAAATAATTGAAATGTTTTTGAAATTTTGCATCAAAAAATAGAAATTCTTTCTATTTTAATAATCATTTGAAAAGTCATGAAAATAATTGCTTCTGTTAAATTAGTTAGTCGACATTTACAATGCCATTCTTTTTTTTTAATGTTATTAGTAAAATTATATTTTTATTTACTATTTTTTAAAACATTCAACTTGATTTTATTAGTAAAACAATAACATATCATAATTTCTAGGTGAAAACCTATAATCAAACTATTATATACATAAGTTTTTATAAATATTATGAAATATACTGAATGTTTACAGTTGAGTATCGATTTTCTTCAAAAAATAACGACATCTAGCCAAGGTTTATTTTATAATGAAAATATCAAATTAAAGACTAGATCATATGCCTCAGTTTCGTATATAATCTTATTATTAGAATTAATAAACATAGATCTCAATGAAACTGTTGTTCAAAAAAGGACATCCCTCACGTACTAGTATTTCAAGATGCTGTGATGTATGTATTAATAATATCAATTCTTCAACTATAATAATTTTATGTTTAATATTTATTACGGGTGTGGGTGTGGGTATTTTTTAATTCATTTGATGATTTTTATTTGCTCATGAAGATATGTCATTAATCAAGGTAATACATGCTTACGAAGTTCAATGGATACTTGTAAAGCAACGTGACATGAGAATCAACAAATAACACAATGATCTTTGCATGCATTATTGTGATTCTATCAAAATCATGATATGATATATGATACTAATAATAAATCTTACGTGAATTTTCATTCGATAAACAACATGCACATTTTCTACGCAACAATATAATATAATCGATTCATTTATTCTACTAGCTAATGACTCAAGAAAGCAATCACTAATAGAAAGTAGCACAACAACCTATAATAAACGTCAATTACTTTTTCTTTTGGCTATGATGCATATCTGTTCAACTCACATTGATTTAAATATTTGTAACAATCACATTAACCTATAGATTATTCATGATGAAGTTATTGTAATCAATCAACTAGAACTAAGATTTGAACATGTACTTAACTTGTTATATAATAAGGTTAACTATTGTTATATGCCATTCAAACGAATGTTATGCTTTAAAAGTTACGATAACAATAGAAAATTGTGAAATGTTTCTTCACGTTTTTTTTTTAATAATATTTCAATAATACATGGCTGGCAGAAACAGACATTTCTTTTTTCTTTTTTCTTTTTATAACCGATGTTCACGTTTATTATTTACTTGGTTTGAAATCCGATCAGAATAATACTTGGCGGAGATTGTATTAATGCATTCTCCTTTTCTTGTTAATTTTTATTTTTTTTTCTTTAAATTTTATTGAGGAGAAAACTGTGATAACAGAAAAAAAAAGAAAAAAAAACCTTCAACGGTAATATGAAGAGTAAAAGTAAAATGAAATGTTAAATATCAACTGGCGTATATCGCTTTCTTTTTTTTTCTATTTCTTTCACATGTTCTTTCTTTCTTTTTTTTTCGCGACAAGCCTTTTAATTATTTAGTGAGTGATGAAAGTAATATGAAACAAAGAAAAAAAGAACGAAAGAAAAGAAAAATATTTTACACGAAGAATGGTTGTTTAACAAAAGTTTGTTTCTATTAGTATCGAGAGACAGATGTCAAATCTTTATTCATTTGTTTCTTTTTACAGGATCATTAACGATCCTATAAGTTTATCAAACTACCAAAATATGTGTAATACAATTATTTGAGTATAGCATTCCTTTTCTTTTTTGCATATGTAAGTATGTTATAAAGCACGTGGCTAGCTTAAGTAGGATAAATTTTGTCAGAAAAACTTTAAAAAAAAACTTGACTACCTTTAAAAAGAAATCTTTATTCTCGACAGGAAATTAGAACAATTTATCGTATTGTTCAAAAACTTGTGAATTACTTTTTTTCTTTTTGTATAATTTTAAATAATAACAAAATCAAATAGTAGGTTTCGATTGATAGCTAGAATTAATTATTTAATAAGATATTATCTGTAGGTTTTTTTTTGTTAAGAAATTTATGAATCAATGGATACCGTTAGTGAAGATTACGACTCATACTCAATAAAAATTTTCAAGTATAAGTAAATAGATAAGTATATTTCATGAATCCAATAATTTAGAAGTGTTTTTTATCGCGAAAATTTAGCAAAAGAAAACTATTCATATTTCTAACTTAGTTACGATGTAATATTATTTTCAATTATAGTGTATACTCATATTTAATAAACTAATATTTTGAGAAACAGAATTAGTATTATTGTACTGAAATTTATTTTCAATATTCTTGATATTTATTGATAAATCTAAGCCACTATATGCAACAGCTGACGATCGACCATAAAATCATTGAATAATATCTCAATAGAAGTATATCAATACAAATATTAAAATCTGTTTGTATTATTTATACATAGACATAAATTCTGTGTAAAGAAATTTATAAGTATAGAATATAGATTTCTGAATATTTTTGTTTTATTCTGTATGATTTTTAAAATTAATTTGAAAAGATGTTTAAAAAAAGTGTATCTATCAATCAAAATATTTGTATCCATAGTTAGACAGATTCAGTGTTGTCTAGAATTGTACACTCAAAAAAATTCATGAATCACCACTTTTTATATTCTTATTCTTCAGGTAACTTATTAATATTAAAAAAAAATTTCAGTGCGTTCTTTTTTTTTATCTTCTGTTGGTTTAAACAATAAGTAAACCAAAAGTTGTAGCTATCATGTTTTCTTTTTCTTTATTTCATTATAGTATGTTTCGACCTGTATTCCTTTTTAAAATATTGGTTCTATCACTTATTGTTAATTTTGTACTTGTTGTATATTTCTTATTACAAAGTTCGCGTCATAATTTTCGTCTTGCTAATAGAAATGACTATTATGAAATTAATGATTATTATTCTTTTTATGAAAATAATCCCATATCAACAAATATTAAAGTTATACCTATGCCAATGTTTGTTACTATAGAACAGTCAACATTATTATTATCAAATAATTTTCATATTGTATCAAATCGAAAACTTTCGAAAGATCTTCGATTAGCTGTTCGTCGTTATTCAAAATATATTTCATTATTAACAGGAATATCAGTAGACAGTAAGCAAGATGTTTCTCCTGCAAATAATAAACTTATTATTGATTACTCAACAAGTCTTTCAAAAGAAGATAAATATCCAACACTCGGTGAAGATGAATCTTATAGACTTAATATAACAAAAACAGGTTCATATTTATATGCATCATCATCAACAGGTATTATTCGAGGTTTATCAACATTTGTTCAATTAATTGAACGAAATACATCATCAGATACATTTTATATTCCATTAGTAAATATAATTGATCGGCCTCGATTTATGTGGCGAGGTTTATTACTAGATGTATCTCGTCACTGGATGCCTGTAACAGTAATTGAACGAACATTAAATGCAATGGAATTAAGTAAACTTAATGTTCTTCATTTACATTTATCCGATGATCAAGGTTTTCGTGTTGAAAGTATTGAATATAATTTGTTACATGATAGAAAAGATTTTTTTACACAAAAAGATATTCAACATCTTGTTGAATATGCTCGACAACGACGTATACGTATTATACCTGAATTTGATATTCCTGGTCATACAACAAGGTAATTAATAACAGATTAATCATTTCCTCATGAGAAAGACATTTCCTTGAGATTTGAATAACAATTTAAACGATTGAGATATGATATTTGTTTGATCTAAACGTACGTCGAAGTTGAATTTAAAGTGTAAAAATGAAAAATTTTTATTCACTAATCGAAAATAAATAATTTTCCACTGGTTGAAAGCTTTCTAGGTAGATTTAACTAGGATTTATGGGTATCGATATTTCTATGATCTACACCTAGTCATGCACCAATATTGAAACATTACTGACAAAAATTACATTTATTTTCTTGCAAAAGCCTTTCAGACTTTTACTGTGAGTAAGTCAACTTGATTTCATCTAGGTTTGCATATAACTAAATATAGTCGATCATACTGAAGAAAAGATCAAGTCTCAATTGAAATTTTCATTTTTGAAATTTATTAATTGCTACAGAAATAGAACTGGCTTGGGTTTTTCACGAACTATACCAGTCAGTCTGAAATCCATACCGACAGTAGACTAACGAGTTGTCATACTATTTCATTTTTGAAGAGTGATATTTGACATAGTCAATTTTCAACAAAGTTTCATCACAAATCTTCTACAAGATACTAAAACTAAAAGAATTGTTAAAACACGTCGGCAACGACCAGTCGGTAACCAGTACTAGTTGTATTTCTTAACTGCGACTTGACCTTCTATTCGTGTTATTGATCTATTTATTTGTACATACATCTAGATGAGAATAGGATGAGTTGTTCACAATAAAAGTCTCTTGGAATATCGTTGGTTCTTACTAGAGAAAAAAGACTTCATCTCTGTCAAGAACTCCTGAGTTTTCATAAATTTCTACATATATTCAAGTTAAATCCACTCAAAAAAACTTTTGACTAATTGAAAAATATTTTTGTTTCAATTAATTCATAAGAACTTTACGTTTTAATATTTGACAGTTAATTCCAATATGTATTTTAGTTGGTTTGTTGGTTATCCAGAATTAGCTACTGAGCCAGGTCCATATCAAGTTGAAACTCGATGGGGTATGATGAAACCTACAATGGATCCAACTAAAGAAAATACATATATATTTCTTGATAAGTTTTTTAAAGAAATGACAGGATTATTTCCTGATCCATATTTTCATATTGGTGGTGATGAAGTTGAAGGTTCTCAATGGACACAATCAGTAACAATTCAACGATTTATTAATGAACATCAACTTGAAAATAAAAATGGTTTACAAGCTTACTTTAATAAACGTATACAAAAAATGCTTAAAAAATATGGAAAAATAATGATTGGATGGGAAGAAGTTCTTGATGAAATTCATGAAAATTTAACAATAGATAAAGATGCTATTATTCAAGCATGGAAAAGTCGAAAAGCATTTATTCAAACAATAAGCAAAGGTTATAAAAGTTTACTTTCTACTGGTTATTATCTTGATCATCTTTCATTATCTTCATATCATTATAAAGCTGATCCAATTCTTAATGATGAATTATGGTTATTTAATCAAAAACAACTAAGTCAGATTCTTGGTGGTGAAGCATGTATGTGGGCTGAATATGCTACACAAAATACAGTTGATTCTCGTATTTGGCCTCGTCTTCTTGCTATAGCTGAACGTTTTTGGTCTCCATCTTCAATAACAAATGAAAATTTTCTTTATGAACGTATGTTTCGAATGAATCATTTACTTGATAAAATGCAAACAGGTATAACACATATTTCATCATATAAAACTCAATTACAAAATTTAATTATTGATCCAAATAAAAAATTAGATCTTTTACGTCCATTAGTTATATTAGCTGATGTTTGTGAACCATATGGTTTTGAACAACGTTCCCAAAGTGGTAAATATTCATCGAATGTTTCATTAACAACATTTACTGATGCTTTACAGCCAGAAAGTGAACTTATATGGAAATTAGAGAAACTTCCTATTAATGATATAAAATATCGTGATATATTTCAAACATGGTCTCTTAATCATTTACGTTTAAGAAAATTATTTGATAATATGGATATAGATAAAAATAAACAAATATGGGGACAAGATATTGAACAATTATCACAAAATCTTGCTGAGACTGGTCGAATTGGTTTAAGAATTTTAGATTATGGTACAAAAAGAATATTACATCATGATAAAAATAATACAATGAATTCATGGCCATTACTACATTGGTTAGGACATCATAATAATTTATTAAATCAATTTGAAAATCAAGTATATGAAGTACGATTAGCTGCTGTAAGACCAGTTCGACGTTTACTTAATTCAATTCAAACATTTGTTTAGTTTTTTTTTGTTGCTATTTTTAATTAATTTATTTTTACTTAGAAAAGAAAACTGTATGACAAATGAATAGATGTTCCTCATCTTAATTCTATTACATTTTCAATGCTGGAATGAATATACGTCAAAGTACTTCCATCAATGTCTCGTCATCATCATTGTCAATCATCTTTTGTTTTGACACAGATTAACCTTGAACAGTAGGACAGAATGAGTGTTCTCAACAATCAAATAGAATAAGAACATTCCTCATTTTCTATTCGTTTTGATAAGTGCCAACATCATTTATCGTCTTATTTAGTATTTATATCAGTCTGCATGCATAGAATAAAGCATAATCAGATTAAAAAATAAATTTCATATACATCATATTCAAGTTCAATAAATAAGACCCGGTGCTAATTATTATTTGTTACCATATATAATATAATCTCCATATTTTCTGTTGAATAAACGACTTAATCAAGCAGAGAAAATTTTAATAAAGCGTTAATAATATAGTTAATCATTCGATGTCAGTATTCATCCAACAAACATCCGCATTCATACATATTTAAAGCAAGTAAGATAAAACGAACGAGTACAATTTGGGTATATGCATTTATTGAATACTAACCCAGTTTTATAGATATTTAAATTTCGTTTGTAAGACTACTTCAATATGCTGACCTAATCATATAATATCACTATTAGATTATTATCCATACTGTTTTCTTGATATATTTATAGCTATATATATATATGTCATAAAAGAAATAATAAAAAGATTCTTTATCGTTTTTTGATTTCTTCAACAGATCAAAATCTATTTAAAAAAAAAAGATCTTTGGGTATTCAAAAATATATCAGCGTAAGAAAACGAAAGATCGAGGTCTAATGTTTATATATTTGTAACATTTTATGGTACTAATAATTCTCAAAGCAATTGCCGTCAATTATTTATGGCATATCTATCTTTACTTCTCTGAAAAACAAAGCCTGTCTTATATATGTATATATGCAAGTAGGTCTTAGTAACCTTAATACAAGTATAAAACTGTCTTTTACATGAAAATCAACTTTCAACTTCAAAATGATGATATATTAGAATTGCAATACATTCCTTTTTTTCAAGTACTTTTTCATTTCGTAATAAATGTGATGAAATAAACATAATTAATATAATCGCCATTATTTTATCTTTCATTTTTTGTATTTTTTTTTTTTGTTATTTTGACACCTTCGTTAATGTGTAGAACTTTTTGACTGCATCACGAAGAAGTTATCATCATTTTTAGATATAAGATGAATAATGTAAAAACAAAATAGAGCAAAAGAAAAACAAAGAATACGAACACGAAAAAAAGAGGAGGTGGTAGCTTGCATGACACTGTAGCTAAGTGCTACTATATTAAAAACTAAGTAATTATCCGGAAATATTATTGCTTTTTTTACCATGTACTCATACAACAGATACTATTTTTTATGTATAACACGCATCATCTACTAGAATCTCAATGATTTATAACCATCTTGCCATTTAACAAGTTACACGCAAATGAAATATGATATATGTGATTGCCTTGTCTTCATAGAAAAGTCTAAATGAAATATTTTATTTGTTGTTAATTCTTCATTATTGGATATAATGAAGAATTAACATGATTGTATTCGTATAGATCTATTCAAACTGATTCTATCACATTTCCTTTTTTGTTCATTTAAATGCTCAATCAATCGTTCTCATCGTTATTGACGATAAGTGGATTTTTTTGCTATTTCTCTCACTTGTTCTTCTTTCATATATTCGTTCTTCTTTTTTTCTTCACGGCTTGTTACCCATGCATTTCTACTGTTAGTCAAAAAATATAAATATATATATATGTAAGAGAAATAAATCATTTTTTTTTCTTTAAGTCTTCTTGTCTAGCAACTTGTGTTCATCAACATTGATAACCTTGTTGATTATATTTATTTATGCAAGAGATTCGCACTTTAGTCGAAGAATGTCTTTGTAAGTATCCACATAGCATCTCAGAAATAGAAAATTTGATGGCATTAAACCTTTATAATTGTTCGGTATGTATTTTCTTTTATGTTCAATTATATAATAAAGTTTTCTTAGTATAATATTTCGTCTTTCATACGTAGATGAATATAAATTAGCCTTAGAAAAGTAGTAGATTATTCAATGATGCATGACATAGTAACTTGATCAACTGATATGTTTTTTGTGTTTTATAGAAAATGATGAAGTTCTGATTTTAGTATATATAACAGATAATTAAAAATATTTTAATAGTAAATATTGTTGTTGTTGTTTTATGAATATGTATAGTTCAAAATGCTAATAGCTTTTTAAAAGTTCAAAAACCAATCAAATATTTAAAATAATTCTTTTTTTTTTGTCAAATGATAAAAGAAATGTTGATAAATTTCAATTTGAAAAGATGAAGTAATTTTAAAAAAAACTTATTTATGGAAAAATAATTTATTCTCAAGTAATACTTTATCTTTCTTTCTTTTTTTTACTCAAAACATATCGATTAAAGTTTTATTCACTATCATTGAAAAATGCTATACTATGAGTAGTTTAAAGGATGAATCCATTATTATTCTCATTAGAGAGTAGATTGATGAGAGGAAAACATAAGTAAAAAAAAAAAGAAAGAGGTTTACTTTTGATAATTTGCATTATAATTATTGAATTTTTAAGAGTATGCTTTTTCTTCTGTTTTCTTTGTTTGATATATTTGTGTTTCTTTTTTGTTTTCATTGTACCAAATATCTTTCACGTTTAGTCTTGTGAAATTAAATTACAATCATTCATAATATAATAAAAAATATTTTCACATCATCAATCTAGATCATCATCACTTATGATTTTTTTATCAGCATATATGCTTTTCTTTTTTGCTTTTTCTTTTGCTACGTTCTTCTTTCCTCTAGACATTGTAATTAATTGATAATCAAGCTAGGAGAAAAGTTTTTCATGGACAAAGTACAATAATAATACTAATAATAATAATAAGAAAAAAAAAAGATAAAGATATGTCTAGATTATATACAGGGTACAAGATGCGAGAAAAGAAAACGTTGAATTGAGTAACAGAAAGAAAAGAGACGAAACATGTTAACGACAATTATAAATATTGCTTTTATGTTGTTAGTCAATGCATGAAATAACTCAAGCTTTATCTACGCGTGACGGTCTCCTATTTTCTAACAAATATACGTGTGCCTTCTTTCTTTCTTTTGTTTGTTTTTCTTTTTTGGTGTTTTGTTGGGCCTCTTTTTTTTACGTGGAAAAAAAACTCAATACTTAAAAGTGCATCGTTTTCTTTTATTCATTGTTCATACTTCAATGACAATGTGCACTTGTGTGTGACATCTGCCCACAGCAACACAACCTGTTGCGAGATGTAGATGATGCATTTCTTACAGTAATAATGTTGACAGGTAACGGTTTTTTTTACAACACCTTGTATAAAAAGTACTGCTGATTACATTCCATTTTCTCTTATCTCAGATTTTTTTGCTTACTTTTGAATTTTATATTCGTATAGTTTTGATATTTAAATATAATAGATGAAATGAAGAAAGTAAGGATATCATAGGTCAATCTGATTGATTGATTTATTATAAGTCATTAGTGTTTTGTATAGTCGAAATTTTTATAGTGATTTCGTTATAATAACATAGAATCATAAAATAGAAAAATAAAACCTTTTCTTACTTTTCTTCTCATTGACTTATAGATAAAAAATTAAAGGTAAATATAAAATATTTACAATTATTATATAAGCAGATCAATCAGTTTATATCATTCGTATAAGTGCTTTTTAAGAGAAATAAATTTTCGTATGATAGTTGATTGTTAATGTAGAATGAAATATTATTATTTTGTTATATGAAAAAACTAAAATTCAAAACCAAAATTCAAATTTGTAAAAAAAAAAGAAGAAAATATGAAATTGTCTATCCATAGTTTTTTCATTTAATCAGAATTAAGAACATCTATATTTGGAACTAATATAACTAGGATCATTTCTATTATTTTCTTGTTCAAATGATTTAATTTTGATTTGTCGATAGTGGGCATGAAATGACACTTGATTCTTTTTTTGTCTTGTAAATATATATGCATGCAAATCCACGTTAGCCGTATGAGGTGGAAGAGGAGAATTTCACCATAAGAAACGGATCTTCTTCTATTACGCTTTGATGATAATCTCGTATTGCAAACAACGGAAAAAGAAATATCGCTTCCAAGATTATTTTCCTTTTTTTTTCTTTGTTTTAGAAAAGACTAACTTTACTCTGTTGTCGTCATCAGTACGATACCACCTTATATTTCTAGAACAAAGAGAAGGAAAAGAAAAAGCGAGCAAAAACGAGAATAGTAAAGGTATACTATCGAGCAAAATTAAGATATCAAGAGAGACATCACCTTTTTGTAATATATTATTGTACAAGGACTCTTCTCTTTTTCTGTTCAATTGAATTGACAATAATACACGATCAACAACAGATAATAGTAATCCAACCATTTTATCTAAGAAAAGAATAAGAGAAGGATGAAAAATAAGCCAAAGCACGTACACAGAACATTATATTTTGTGTACTTATTTGTTCTTATCGTATGTATATCATCTCGATAGTTTGTTTTCTTTTCAACGTTATGCTAAACAAAAGAAAGGAAAAAAGGCCACGATCTCTCAGTAACTTCGTAATTCTGCTAGTGATGTACACATACTGACAGATGCATAGATATATACTTGCTTGAGAGAATTCAGCTAATCAAATTGTGACTTGAAAGTTAAAGAAAAGAAAATCAACTCTTTTTTTTATCGAAGAATGAATGACGATTTAGAAAAGCTTCTGTCATAGTGATGACATTTGTTAGAATGACAGTCAATTGTAGCGTTGTTTTTTATTATTGTTCCTATTACAGTTGTTGTCTCCTTCATCATCATCTGACAGAATCACCACATACCAGCATTTACCAGTCTATCTCCTTATACAAAATCTTCCCTGTATCTTATCTTCATCATGTCTTATAGGGATAGTAGTGACGTCTTGATTAGTTAATACACATTGTCTATATTCTAGAAAAAGAAAAAGAATTATAACAACTTATTATATCGATCAATAATAATTATGTTTTAATTAACATCATCAAATATCTTCAACAAAATAAACAAATGGCATATTATAATCGAAGTGATGTTTCCTTATTTGCTAATATAAATTCCTCAATATTACCATCATCATATTATGATAATAACAACACTTTACATAGATCATCCGATAGTGGAAAAACAAGTATTTCTGAACGTTTAAAATTTGTTGAACGTTTAACAACTCATATAACGCTCATTGTTTCTATTATTGGTTTAATTGGTAATGCATGTACAATAATTGTACTTAATAGACAATCAATGCGTAAATGGCGTTCATCAATATTATTATCATCGTTAGCTGCTGTAGATTTTCTTTATTTATTAATTATATTTTTATCTATTATTGATGAATTAACAAATAAAGCAATTGGCCTTAATCAATCCTTAATATTATGTCAAGTAACGGTTTATATAACACATGTTTGTTCATTTTTATCAGCTAATTTTACGTTATCATTTACATTACAACGTTTTATTGCTGTTATTTTTCCATTACATGCTAAAACAATAATATCAAATCGTTCATCCATAACAAATATATCAGTATTATTAATTTTTGGTTGTAGTTTTTATTCATTTAGTTTCTTTGTGACAAATGTATCTGATGGAAAATGTCTGGAAGATGATGCTTATCCAGTTTTATTTCCACTATTAATGGTTGATATATGTTTAACATTTATCATACCATTTATATTTATAGTTATTTTTAATTGTGCTATTGTTTACCAATTACAGCATAGGAAAAAATTTTCAACTTTTTCTGGTAAGTTTTTGTTTTGTCTTTTGAATATTATTTAGTTTAATCGAGAGCATAAAAAAACAAGGATTAATTATTTAGCTTCTGTTATTGGTTATTTTTCATAAAAAAAATATTGATATGAAATAAGATGACATGTATGTCGTTTAAATGACTGATATTAATCATACCGCTATGCAATAATATTGCTTTGCCTGTACGGTAAGAAATAGTTTACATATGGTTCATTGAATAATATCCTTATGGTTCATTTTATAAGACCATAATCTGAGATTTGTTTTGTATTATGATACAATGTTCCATAAATAGACAGATTTTAATATTATACTAGTTCTTTAATTGAAAATAACAAAGAAATTGTTCTTGAAGAACACACATATAATATCATATCAGAATATATAAGAGAAATCTGATTACACCATTATTGGTACAGAGTTCATATATGAAAAGACGATGTGAGAAAATTAAAGTTCAAAATCTAATTATAAACATAATCAAACTTGTATATAACAAGTATTGAAATTGACAAGAAGAAAATTAGATTTCATTTTTGTTCTACATAATAGAATAGATAGGAAATTCTATTGTTACTTTTGTAATGAAAGAGAAAAATTTAATACAGTTATATATTGCGACATAGCTTTTTTTTTCTTTTTCATCACGAGATGATAGTACTTAAAAATTGAAAGAACCCTTCAAAAAAGCTTTGTCATTTATAATGAAAAGAATTGTAACATTTTCTATTTCGTTAATACTTGATATCTAGACGTTTCTTTCTATATTCAGATGGTTCATTGACAACAATAAGAAATCCTTATAATCGAGGAAAAGCATTACCATATCGTTTGCCTGGAACTAATGATTATCTTGAACAAGATCGGTTTTATCAAGCAAATCCTGATATTAATGGTTGTAGCTCATACGAAAATGGAACTAGAACACCAGATACACCATCGTCAACACATCGTACAACATGTGCATCAATTGTTGAAACGACAAGAAAATCTAATGAATATGTGACACGTATTAGTAATCCACGTGCATCAGTATTAACAATGTCGAATGATTTAATAAATACACCACCAAATTCAACTAGTAGTCGACACGCAATATCACAACGTACAACACAAATGCTTGTTATATGTTCAACAACATTTCTTTTATTTAATTCTCCATATTCTGCTGTTTTACTATATTCTATTCTATCAAAACACTTTCTAACACGTACACTTGGAATTTTAAGACATTTTTACTTTATGTCATTCTGTTTCAATTTTTTTCTATATGCATTATGGGGAAATCGTTTTCGTCAGGAATTTATTTTACTTTTAAAATCATGTTGTACACAAAATATTCGTTTCACATGGTTTAGGTCTGATAAAACCTTCAAAATGTCAAATTTTACACGTGCTAAAACTAGAGCAGCTGTTTAATTTTTTCTTTTTTTTTTTTGTCTAAAAAGAAAAAAATCATTAAAAATAAATTTGTGTTTTGTATATATATGTGTGTGTTTGTAAGGTTTAATTTCTGTTCTCTGTTTTTTTTGTATACATAATAAATATATATTCATTCTTTTTGTCTTATGATTCTTTGATTAAAAGAAAAAAAACAAATAGTTCAAGCACTGTGTCAGAATTTTGAGATAACGATAGATAGGATACTCCTCGCTTATTTAAACTGCAACGTGCACTCAAAGAATAAGAAAAAAAGAATGCGTATCGTCGTTTATGTTTGTCTTCTATTATTCTCTTTTGTACAAGGTTTGTAGAAAAAAAAAGAAAACATTAGGTGTTTAAAGTGCATTTATTATATATTTATAGGAGATATTATTGCTAGTTCTATTGATGAACAATGTAAGTCCATTATATTATTAATTATTAACACAATGCATATCTTTGTTAGGTACTTTTTTTGTAATTAAATATAAATATATATCTAAAGCTATTTTTCAATATGTACCTACCACTATTATCGATCAAACAGCATTAAATATAACTGCTGATGTGAATTTTTATCAATCAAAATCACCTTGTAATCAATCTTTTGTTGAAGTAATTAAATCATTTATAATGCAAAAACAAAATGTATATATATATATAATTTTTCTTATTTTTCTTTGTCAAGTTACAAAATCTACTTATTAATTCGTTGCAACATGATAGTATTCATACAGATACAAAACAACTTGAAAAAGCTATTTTTCAGATATTTATTGAAACATCTGTTAGTCAAAACTTTATTTAGAAAAAAAAAAAACTTTGATTTTTTTTTTCTTATAAGAATATATTACAAAATACAACACAGGATGTTTTCTTCTTCAATGATTATTATAATAATAGTAATCAATATCGTCAAATAAAAACTATTCGAACAAATGATGGTCAATTCATTGGTAATTCTCTTTTTGCTGTAAGTTTATTCATTACATACAAAGAAACTTTGTCGTTTTAAATTTAAAAATTCTTTGTTTGAAAATAGAATTATCTTGTCAATAAACTTGTTCTACCAACCAAAACAACATGTGAAACAATAATAAATATAAATGAAGAAAAACTTGAAAAAAGTATTTGTATATCAATAACTGCTAACCTTTTAACTATTCATAGGCAACTAAGCTTTGATAGCAAAATTGATAATCAAACATTCATTTTCAAAAGTAAAAACTTAAGTGCAACTCAATTAAAAACAAAAACAAAAAATGATTTTGACCACTTATTAAAACAAATTTGTACAAAAAGTGAATTCAATTCACAATATCAGTTAATTAATATGATGAATAATGAACTTAACAATGAAGATTTAAATAAAATTCTTTTCCTAAACACAAATCAATATTCAAATTGTGAATGGTTGATATATTTGTTTTTTTCATCTTACGACTTTAATTTATTATTTGTATTATTCTATTTTTTTTTCTTTCTGAAGGACAATAATCAATCAAAGTATAATTGACGTAAATCGTTATCAAGCTACAGATTATATTTTTAAAAATTTTTATCATGATGAATCAATAATTGAACATCATCTTGATTTCATTGAAAGAAAATCAAATGATCATATAAAACAAATTTTAAAGAAATATTTTCCTAATTCTTGTCAAATAACAAATATAATAACTCTTCGTATGTTAATACTTATTTCACAAGATAATTTAACTATACAATGTATCTTGAATCGAAATAACAGTTTAAAATATCGTGCTATTGCATTTCGTTTTCTTAATAATGAAAAAAAATTTTTTAAAGATTTTCAAAATATATTAATCAATGAAGAAGAATCAAGTGAAATGCGTATACTTTGTTTTCAAACAATATATTTATCTCTTAATATATCTGAAATAAATAATTTAATTGAAAATGTTAAATCAAATCAACTTCGTTTTTATATTAAATCTTTATTTAAACAAAGTTCAATATGGTTAGCAAATTCTGGTTCATATAAATTTCCATTTGGAAAAATGAATATTATATTTGATGAAAATTTATTATTCTATTTTCCAAATATGATTCAATTAGAACTTGGAAATAATACTGATATTGATTTCTATTTTATTAGAAATAATCAACAAAATATAGTATGAATTTTTTCTTTTCACTTTTAGTTTGACTCTTCTTTATGAATATAAGTTTTCTTTTTCTTTATTTGTTAATAGCAATACGAAATTTTATTAATATTTGATAGAAAAAATATTATGCGGTTTTCAACAATTAAGGATTTTTTTAATTGGATAAATAATGATCGATTATTTGAAATGAAAACACTTGATGAATTTTGTTTAAAAATAAATTTAAAAACTGATTTTAATCTTAAATGGCTTACTGGTTATTTTAATCAATTTGATAATTTTTTTAAAAAGTAAATATATATTTTAAAAAAATTAAAATAAATACATGATTGAAATACTTTTAGCAACAACTCTTACTAAACAATAGATACATTTATTAGATTAAGACAAGTTTTATGAGAATTGAATGGATTTTGAATATTCTTATTATAGACTTCAATCAGTACAAAGAGTAACTCCCATCAATTTTAATAGAATGTCTGTGAAAATTAAGTTATTAGGGTATGGGTATGCAAAAAAAAGATTTTTGGTATTTTTATAATATTTTCTTAAATCATAAAAAGATCTATAATCTTTACATCTATCTAGATTAAAAATCTACTTCGAAATAGATTTGTGTGAACTCGACAAATTTTTATTTCCTTTGATGGTGAAGTCATAAATGTTGGGAAAGCAAAATTCGACTCTAACTGCACGCTTTATAGAGTAGGGCGCACTCAAACACTTTTCTTCTACCATTAGATTGCTAGATCTTAGTAGTTCTTCACGACTTTTGCACATGCTCTCATATTTTTTTCTGCCTCCGACTATCAATAATAATATATATAATTTGAATAGTTCGTCTTCTCTTAATTTCAATCTTCAAATGAGAATCTTATAGAAAATATCGAGTCTAAACTAGAATCAAAACATCTCACCACCTACGGTGATTTCATATATTAATTATAAATTCTTTTTGTTTCATAGATCAACAGCTGGTATTGTTCTAAAAATTCAGCATGGACTTGGTGAGATCATGACTGGATATAAAATAAGTTTTAGCCTTGAATCTAATTTTAAAATTAATATTCATCAACATGAACATTTAACTTCATACATTTGGAGTTCAATACAAAAAGAAAATATTCTTTTTAAAATCGAGTATGAATACAATTTTCTTATTAAACACAACTTTTCTTTTTTTTTTTAATAATCTATTTAATCAATAGACAAACAATAAAGCCATTAGTGAATTACAAACAAATCATATCAAAAAAGACTGTTTTATCATCAACAGTTAAAGATTTTTGCTATATAATTCCACATTTTGATTCAAAAATTTGTTTATCATTCATTTTTGAACGTTTATGGCCTTCATCAATTGCAGTAAGATTTTTTGATTTCATTAAAAGAATTTTGTAAAAACTCACATATAAAATTTGAAGGAAATAGTGAGTATAAGTTGTAAGTTAAAGCTTTGCGACTCTTCCTTTCCTCTTTACACACCTTAGCAACTGATATTAAAGATTATTGAATATGTTTTCATGGCAATCACAGATCCTCCAGCAAAAAGAAGAAATTTTTCAAAGTGAATAACATTGATTGAAATCTTAATATGAAAGAAAAAAGAAGTAAAGGAAAGAATGTAGTATTGAGGTACTAATATTCATAGGCGAGGCAAACAACAGTTTCTAGAGAAAGTAATAAGTTTTTTTTAATGAGATGTTTCAGTTCAAGTCTAACATTAATCATTTTATTTATTATCAAAATATTCTTTTTTAAATACAAATTCTTCTACAGTAGTATCTAAATCAGTTTCAAAGCAACGTTTACTATAAACTTAAGATAAACACTTACATTCATATCCTCAAGATAGTAGCACTAATGTTGTATTATCAGTTTCACTAGATAGAATTGTTTTATTTATTCTGTATTTTTTGTGAAATAATAAGAAACTTTTCTTCGTTCAAATATTTAGCTAATCAATTAAATACTAATCACAAAGTTGTAAAAAATCGAAAAAATAAATAAAACAGAGTAGACTAATAGATATTTCCTTTTCACTGTGAACAAAGAAGATAAAAGAAGCAGTCTTTGATTTTTCTACAATTTTGACAATATTAATATATCGAATTTCAGCTCCTTTAATAAAAACAAATATCAGATCTATGTGATAAAAGTACAACTATACAGATAGAATAAAACAAATTTCTAGCACTCTTTAACAATCTTTTCATATAAACTCTGAGAGTAGAGAAATACCTACAAAACCAGTAGTTTCTTTTTGCGCCTCCGAATTTTTTCAAGGGAAGCAATTGTACTCTATGTCTTCATTGGTATGCTACTTATGTTGATATGTGCACTGGCAATCAAGAGCGCAGTATTTTTTTTTTCTTATCGAAATTAGTATTACAGCATCTATTTGTAACTATTTCAATTCGTGAGAAATATCATAATACTTATTTATTACGTCATTCATGTTGCCTATTTTCTTATATTTTTTTTTCTTCGTCATATCATAAAAATAAGAGTGTTGCTATTTTCATGAAAAGTAAAATGAATTCTTTATCATATCGAAAATGATGTAGAAAAGAACATTTTGATATTTTCTCAATTATATTGATTACTATTAAAAAGCAAATAAATATTTCATTATGTAAAACTTTTAATTGTTACACTTCACTTGCTCCAAACTTTAAAGTATAACGGATGAATCGAAAGTTTTGAGACAAAATATTTTTTATTTTTGATTCCATTGAAAGCGTTTTCAAGCAGTCAAAAACAATGGACTAAAACAATCATCTTGTGCACTTTCTCAATATAAGGTTAAAAATTTTATCTCAGTTTTTGTCTGAAAGTAATGAGATAACATTTGAAAGATCCAACACATGATGTTGAACGAAAAGTACAAGCCTATGCTTTTGATGCAAATGATTGTTCATTTTGATTTGCTTGAAAGTATCTTAGACAAGCCAAAACTAATAACTGGTGATCAGAATTTTGTACTTGCTTTGAACATGAAATTAGAAACATTATGTCTATTTTTTTTTCGAAACTAGTGCAGAAGTTTTTCAAAGATCCGAAAAATTATATTGAATGGCGAACTAATAGACTTTTACTAATCTTCATAAATTTCTTTTCCAAAATGCTTAAAAATAATTCGCATCGATTGTTTTGTCAAGTGGACACTTCTTTACAAAATTTTATATTAAACTAAGTGGTAGATATTACCTAACTGTAACATTAGATACTTTCTCGAGGACTTCTTTCTTACAAAAAGACTTCAATCATATATTTTCAAGGGTAGCCTCTGTACTACAAGCTGATATATTAATCGAGATGTCAATATTTACTTTCGAGTCCTGACAATGAAAGCACGGAGCTATGCAGAAAAATTTTCTGTTCAATTTCAGTTTTTTTTTGAGCGATCTGTGAAAAGATCTGCTCATTGATCTAAATAGAATTTGTAAACGTACATTCAGAATGAACACAAAATTCTATTGATAATCTATAATTATTGACTTTTCAGAAACATGTTCAAGATAGTTTTTAAAAAAAACAAACATTTTGTCTTAAACTTTTCTGTCCATCTTTTACTTCATTATAAGAAAATAATTTATACTAAATTATCTGCTATCTTATATAGGATATGTGAGTTTCATATTTTTTATTCTCAAAGAGATTGCACTATCAAAGTTTTTCTTAAATTATCTTATTCATTAAATAGATTCGATTACTTTCGGATGATCCATCACTTGTTTATAATTTAACTTCATCAAAAAATTTTCTTCATTTTAATATTCAACAAGATAAACAAAAAATATTTCGATCATATCGTTTTATACGTAAATACAATCAACATATATGGATGCCTTATTATATTGAATTTTCTACACCTACAGCTAATTATACAACATATATTAATTGGAATAATGATAGTAATGTATCGTTTAATTTACTAAATAATAATCAATTAATTACAAATGGTTCTGGTTTATATCAATATGATTCATTAAAACAACTTTCAATTAATTTAACAGATATTTATCCAGAACATATTGGAAATATTTTTATAAATTATAATGGAAATTTAACAATAAATGCATCGAAATTATTAGGTAGTAAATTATTAATACGTATAGATCGTTTATCAAAATGGAAACATGCTAATATTGAAATAACAGCTGATAGAGCTTTTTTTTTCTTTAAACAAAATTTTTTATTGAATTTTTATTATAATATTTATCAATCATCATTTAATTTAACATTAATAAGAAATCAAAATAGTCAATTTCAATGGGCATTTATGAAACATAATTCTCATATTCGTCATATATTAATTATTAATACATCTTTAATAGAATTCGATCATCACACTCAGGTAATTCGATTTCATTGATTGTAAAAGAACAAATTTTGAATTAGAGCTTACAAATACTAAACAAGATTGGGTGGAATAGTTAAAGGATATCTATTCGTATTTCTTGAGCTAAGACTTTGTTTTGGCCATTGTATAGTCTGAAGTAATTTTCATTTACACGAGTACATTTTAAGATCAAAAAATTATCTTTAACGTTAAAAAATCAAATTTATGTTGTGTCACGTTTTTCTCAAGTCAACTTTCTCATAAATAAAAGTACAGAAATACGTCTATCCCTTCTGTGTAGTATGTCGAATCAAGCTGAAATTTTTTTCACATATACTATGCACTGTTTGTGATAGATATCCTTCATTTCAAATAATATTTTTTTTGCTGTGTCTGTTTGTCAGTCTTACAAAACAGCTCCATTCAAAAAGGCATCCATTATTTAGGGTACCTTCTATATTTTGGTTTTTCTATTGGAAGGATAAAAACATAAAAAGATATTCTCACCCAAAGCAGTTCATCTCGATCGAACATGGCATCTCAAAGGAACAGGAGCAGAAATTAGAGTCGTTTTCTTGGCCCTAGATCTCATCGAAAACAGCATTCGGGAACTCTACTTCTACCTGCAATGAAAGGTTCAAAATAAAATGGTGAAAAGTATCTTTCTAGGAAAAAAACCTTTTTTCGAGATCAAATTATAATTGAAAAGAATAGTTTCACAAAGTTCAGATGAAATTTTTTTATGATTAATGATGAGAAAGACACATCAGACTGTTCAAAATTATTTTACTATTGGCAATAATATAATTAAGACTAATTTTTGAGTTAGATTTATTTTCAATTTTTGTCTTCAGATAGAGTTTATAATTCTTGAATATTTATAAATTTAAATTTCAAAATCCAACTATACTTTTCATATAATGATATATGAATTACAGCAGTTTTTCTCTATAATAATCAAAAGCAATATTTCGATGTGTTAACGTTTCATTTTTATATGTGATGGAAACTCAATGACGAAATAATTGTTCACTTTTATAGAAACACCAAAGTAGCAAAACATCAAAAACTTTATAGATATTTGTGATTAATTAAATTTTAAAAAAGAAACAAAAAATACTTATCATTGTTTTTGAAATAACTCTCTACGTAGATTTTTTACCTACAGATGCAAAATAGTTCATGAGAATTAAAACATAACAATCGATTCCGAACATCTGATTCTATTTGCCATTCAATCATGGGTTGTCTGATAGGCTCTGACTAAAGTTATTTACATTTTCATTTCAAATGAGTAAAAGTCTGTTTAATTGAACTATCATGTAATCATCAAATCCAACTGCATAATATAATTTTTAAATGTTGTTTCAATAAAAAATATAAATATGTAGATCGAATATGAAAATCCTGCAAATCTTGGTTTTCAATCTTCATCTTTAATTAATGGATGGTCTCTTTGGAATATTAGTTTTCTAATAATGAATTACAAACAAATTCAAATTCAATTTGATCGATTTACATTTAATTCACATTTTAATAATCGAACAATTCATTTTGCAATAAATTCTTTAAAGCAAAAAATTTTACGATCATACATAGATATAAATCAATCAAATATTATTCATGTTTTAGTAGAAATACCTGGTTATTATTATGAAAGTAAAGGAAAATTATATGCTAATTATACAAATTTTTTCATAGATTTTCCAATAATTGAAACAATAATTGGAAAAACTAAAAAACAATCTCATATTTATTTTGAATTTTTATCATTTGATAAAAATCTCATATTAAATTTAACATCAAATTTTCGAAATGAATATTTATTTAAATTGATACAAAATTTTACATTTTATAATAATTCATTATATCAATCAAATATTCAATCATCATTAATAATGATAAAAATGATTCATTATCAATTATTTTCATTTCATTCTTTTATTCAATATATTCAAAATTCTAGAATTATAGATTTATGGAATGGATCTATTATTTTACCATCATTATTTTTTTCTAAACCTTTTTTATTACATTATCAAAAAGATTCACAATTATTTATACAAATTTTTAATTTAGCTAATTTAACACAAACATTAACAAATTATCAAATATCAACAAAATTTGGTTTTCAATTATCAATTATTAATGATTTATCAACAAAAATTCATATTTATATTGAACAACATTTAATTGGTAGACGTCTTTCATTATTTTTTGAAATTGATCGTAATTGGATTTTATCATTAACTATAAATAAAAAAATTCGTTATGAATTTATATCATCACCAATTGATTCATTATTATTATTAAAACGAATTCATATAGATACAAATACAAGTCAAATATTACCTATTAATTATTATACAGATAATCAAACATTAATAAGAATTGAAATATTATTTACAAAAATATTTTCATCATTTATAAATAATTTTATTTTGGATATATCATTAAAAAATCATAGTTTTAAAATATTATGTCATATACCATTATTTAAAAGAGAATTTTTTTCTTTAATATGGAATAGATATATAGAAAAAGAATTATTTCATTTTCATGGTTTAATACAAACGAAATTTTTACGACGAAGACATTTTATTGATTATGAATATAATTGGAATTTAGCATCATTTCATTTTTGGATATTTGATTCTCGTTTAAAACTTTTTTCATTTGATCCTATTGAATTTAATTTTAATATTACAAATGATTATTTATGGTATGGTAAATGGGCTATTGATTTTTATTTAATGTTAAGTAATCATCGACAATTAATTCGTTTTAATCATAAATATCATTATACAACATTTCGTTCGAATTTTCTATTTGATCTTCATCTTATTAATTCACATTATGATCTTAATTTTAATTATTATCATTCAAATTATTCGATTCAAGGTCAATTTATTAAAAATAAACATACACATCTAATAGATGGATTTTGGAATACAACAGCTAATATACTTCAATTGAACACTGAAGAAATGAAATCGATGACATTAATTACATCAACATTAATTAAATCAATTATTGAAATATATCATCAAAAAATAGGTGTTTTAATTGAACGTACGACAAATAATTTTACAAATGATACTCAAATTATAGAGGTACACAATTATTTTATAGATAACTGATGATAAAGAATAATTTATCGTGTCAGTATTTTATCAATATCTTTTTCAGTTTTCATAGTGTCCGACTAAATGTCTTTCAAAAGACTCGGTATTCATGTTTTTTTTTAAAAACTATATGCCAGTGGCGTAGCCAGGAATTTTTGAGTCATGGGCAATTCATCAGCAGAACTATTTTGAGTTACGGGCAGCTAAGGGCAACCGTTATGATTTCAAAAATATCTATGGGCAATAACTGTTCAAGTACTTCATAGCTCAATAAATCCATGGGCAATAAGTTTTGGAGCTATGGGAAATTGCCCACTGGCCCTATCCCTGGCTACGCCACTGCCATATGCATATGGACACTGCATAGTTAAAGATAAACTATCTATCAATATTTCAGTAGAACTGCAAATAGATGCAATATTGATATTTTTTATGAGTTCATTTATCGAGGCATATCGGAAAATTTCGAAAAATTAAATTACCGATCTTTTGGAACTTCGAAAGTTCTATTTTATTTAGTATTTTTGAAAATCTGGAAGAGCACAAGTTTTTAGAGTAATTTTTCATAATTCAGAAAAAATTATGCAACTTCTTCAAAACATGATTTTTAAGGCAAACTTCTTCACAATAAGCTACTATGTTGTACGTCCAATATTTCTAATCGGCTAGCTTCACACAGAAAATTAAAATCTTTCAAATACAGATCAATCATACTGAAAGTAGATTCTCTGTCAATATTATTAGCTTAAATATTCTTTATTGTGTACTTTATTATGCTCCAGCAGAATAGAGCGTATATTATTATATGAAAAAATCATATTTTGAAGCTTTTGAACGATGCTTTACGAGTAGAACGAAATGAAATGCGATCTACATTAAAGTGTTTCGAAAGTTGTTGATTACATATGTTCGAATTAGTACTTAAATAAATAATTTATCTAGAACAATGCTACGTGGACTTGGGTATAGTTTTCTAGAGAAATAAGTGCTGAATCTTTCGAAAAAAATTCAATTTGTAACTATGAAAACTGTTCTTTTTCTTTTTTCAAAAAGAAAGGATCGTGTCAGATATTCATAAAGTTGAGATATGAAAGAGAAAATGATATTTCACATGTTTTTATAGAATCCTAGTATGAAATTTAAATTAACATTTATTCAGTTTTAGTGAACAATCATTTAAACAAACATATTAAGATCTTTATCTATCCAAAAGAAAGACTCATTTATCTAATTCATATCTTCTGATATTTTGCAAATATTTGACCATAATAATTGTTTATATAATAATTATCCTAAAATTTGAGCATTGGTTTTCTAAGTGTCTGTTATTTTGTATTTAAATAACTCTGTTCAAACTCGATACTAAACAAATGTTTTCGACTGTTTTCTGATATTTATAATATAATAAATCTAAATTCATATTTTAGTGTAATCCTTATTTAATAATTCAAATTCGTCCACGATTATTCGTTATTCATTATTATACATTAAGTGATGATCTGTCAACAATGATGTTTGAATGGTCAACATTTTCGTATTTATCATGGAATTATACAGGTCATGGACATCGTATAATTCCTATGACTAAATTTGAAATAGATATTCGTAAAAAATACATATTTCATTTTCATACATTAACTTTTAAATATTCTTCAATATATAATAATAAAAAACGACAATTAATTATTCAACGAGAACCAATGGCAGAAGATTCAGATGATCGTTATATATTTAAAATGAAGTTTCATCATAATCGTACATTTTTAATACATCTTCAAGTATTAAATAATCATTATGAAGTTATTGGTAATTCTTATGATGAAAATTTTCATTGGAAACTTCATGGATATTTTCAACGTGATCAATTTAATGGTTCATTATTAATTTCTAATAATGATTGGTGGTTATCATCACAATTAAATTTTAATTCATCATTATACATCTCTACAGGACGATATGTTCAATTAATTGCAACATCAGATCCTCAAATAGCTTTTGAAATTCTTTTAAAATCTCGTTTTCATATTGCTTTTCAATATTCAGGTTTACAATCTATAATAGTTTTGAAATTTTTTCATAATTCTTCAAATATAAATATATATTTTTCATCAAAACCAATTAATAAAACAATGTTTAATATTAATTTTCAATTAAGTAATCAAATTAATCAAAATTGGATACTTAATATATATAATCAACGATTTTTTTTATATAATCATAATTATGAATTTATTTTTAATGGTAGTTTATATGATTTTTCTTTTCAACATATAATTGAAAATAAAAAAAATTTATTTTTTATTAATGAAAATACAATACAATTTCATACAAATAATTATGGTATGATTATTTCAAATCTTTCAACAGATACAACAACATATATACATTTATATAATCGAAAAACAAAACAAAATTTAACAATTAATTATTATAAATTAGGAAGATTTAATACAAAAGATAATAATATACAAACACCTATTTATGATATAAATCTTCTTTATTATTCAACTAATGATGAAAATCATTATATAAAAATTTTCTTAGAACTTTTACCATTACAAATGTCATCATTTAATTTTGTTCGTGGTCGTTCATTTCGAATTGGTTATCAAACAAAACAAAAACAATTAATTTTATCTGGAAATATTGCATTTACTATTGAAGATATTTATGAAAAACAAACAATAATTATGAATGAACGTTGGAAATTAATTTATGGTCATGAGAAACGAGATAAAATTTATATTAAATGGAATTTAAAAATTGATTCAAATAAAAAAATTCTTCAAGGTCAAATAAATATTCAAGATCCAAATGGTGAAATGCCTATACCCATCTATAGTAATATTAGTGGACATTTAAAAGATATGATGATTGTAACAACAATGCATACTACTTATTCTTCATCAGATAATTCACCAAAACCTATTATTCTTGAATTAAATATTGATCAACGTTTTCTCATTCAACAATATTTTTCTATCAAATTAATTCATGAACCTTCAAAAACAAATCTAAGTTTAATAATTGATCATTATCCACGACGAAAATTACATATTCGTTTAAAACCAAATAATTTTCTAAATGAAAAGACTTTTATACATTTATATGCAAATACAACTGAATCTCAATTAAAATTATTTCTCATACTTTTTAATCTAATTAACTTTAATTTAACTTTACCTAAATCATATCCTGAAACTGGTTTATTACATTCAGCATTATTTGTTGATGATGAAGAATATTTTGATGGACGTTTTGATACAACAGCATTAAAATTACGTTCAAAAAAATATGTATGTCAAATAAAACTTGATCAACTTATAGTACAAAAACAATCTCCTGAACAAATTCTTGCATCGATTAATGCACGATGGATTGAACGTAATTCAACAACTGTACTTATAACAATTTTTAGTAAAATAGATTTTAAACGAGTGAGTTTAATAAGAAAATATCATTATGTGAACGAAGAATATGACTTCTTTTTTTTTCATTTAGAAATCTATTCCAGCTTGGCAATCAGCTCAACAAAAAACTTGGCTTCAACGTTTTCAACAATTTTTATTTACTAATAATTTAACATATCAATTTTCAAAAGATTTTCAAGATTTTTTCACTTATTGGAAAACTGATTTTATTAGTGAACATGAACAATTTAGTATAAAATTAATGAATTATCTTGATTTAGATGAAGATCTAAAATTACAATTACAACGAATTAATTATACAACAATGATTCTTATTGAAACTTTATTTCAAATAGGTTTTCATAGTGAAAGTCTTTTACAAAAATACATGAATAAGTACGTTCATCATTATAAAGGATTCTATCGGATAAGATAATGATCCTTCATTTGAAATACCATCTATATCGTTTCGTAGAATAATTCATTCCGCATCGTATGATATATAAGAAATCTCATATACCTAATAATACTTATAATAGCTCTTTCATATCTAAAACCTATCATGATTACTAGAGTCTGAAATTGTTTAATTTTATGATTTTTCAAATTCGTCTATACTATTCCTCACGGCGAAAGCCACAAACCGTGCAACTTTCTCAGGATATTGTCTGACATTAAGTTCCATAAGTGTACTAATTGATTATCCTCTGAATATATATGAGTCATAGTCAAATTGATCAATAAATGCTTAAAACAAGTCAATTTTTCGATTCCTAAGAGCAGAAAAGCCGATAAAGTTTGTGATAAATATTTATTGAACGAAGAAATCTCTATCTATTAATAATAAGTTCTTTATACCGTATCATTTGATATATATATATACGAGTCTTCAAAAATGGCGAAAAAATTTTTCGATTTTAGACCTCTAGAGGAAGCACGACAATGAAATATTACAAAAGATTAGCTTTTATTTTCTTTATTTTTCCTTACGAGTGTACATTCTGAGTAGCCGAGTGTAATTGAAGTATGGTGCTCTAATTAGAAGTATTTTTTTATTAAAAAAACGAAAAACCTTCTTCTATCGATTATTTTAGTCTTACTTGTTTAATAAATCATCAAAATTTATTTCATCTTGATATGTCTCAATTAGCTACATTAATAATTGATTCATTTATATTTGATATTGTTTATTATGTAAATAAAACATTAATTATGTTCAATCATTTTACTCATTATCCACGTTCAATGAATGCTATTATATCTTATATAAGCAATGAAATTATTTTGACTACATATAAATTCATAAATAATTTATATTTAGAAACAAAAAATTTTTTTCTTCCAAAATTTATTCAATATTTGTATGAAGCCGAATTTTTATTAAAAATTTCTCCTCTTCTATCCGATTCAATAACATATTTTTCATCGAATGATCTTCGTATAATTACTAATTTATTAAATTATCGATTACGTCAATTATTATCTTTATGGATGAATTCACCAATGGAATATAAAATAATGAGAACAATTGCCAGGGAATCGATAGAATTGATTGATAAACTACGTTTTTATCTTGATGATAAACTTGATTTTTTACTTCCTAGATTGCAAGTTTACACTCCTCAATCATGGACTAATAGTAGTCATAATCAATCATTTTTATTAACTTGGTCAAAACAATATAACTTAACTAATATTATTGATGATGAACGAAAATATCAATAAAACTTAATAACACTCATTTAATATGTATTTGTTTCATCTATACATTCTTATATAATAAATATTTTTTTCTTGAGAAAGATAAATTTTTCAATGATTTTAATATGATAAGAAGTATATTGTAGTGAGGCATGTACGTTTTGTATCGTTCAATAATAAATATATTCAAGAGATATAACAAAAAAAGTGTTCTTGCTAATCAGTTCATTGATTAGATGCAAGTCTTAGACATTAAAGTTATTATAAGTAAACTAGCAATTTTCTATGAATATTATACAGTTGTATTTCTTCTTGAGCTCTTAACTCTTAAGTTGTAACTTACCTCACCACATTCGGTAATAGACAAACAATCGAAAATGTATACGTGTATATATTTTTAATTTACAGAAGATATATATCAGTCGTCTTGAGTATTTATTAGCTATGAAAAACCATATTGTGATATTCTGATTAGCACCTACATGTATAGTACATGCTGCTTAGAGCATAATCGAAAGAAGATAGAGTCTAAAACGTCTATAAAATTTTAATGAAAATTTCATGAAATTCCCATCGAAAAAGTTGGGTGTGGGTGTGTGGGTGTGGGTGGGGGGGGAGGGTGTGGGTGTGGGTGGGTGTG